GACGGGGCTCTGAGCAACCTGCTCAAGGTAAAGATGTCCCTGCCCCAGGCAGGGGGATTGGACTGGATGAGCTTTGAAGGTCCCTTCCAACCCAAACTATTCTATGGGTCGATTCTATGATTCCCTGAGCAAGCAGCTCTGCCAGCACACTAAGGGCTGGCAAACAGCACCCTGACACAGTCTGGGGCCACACACCACTTGAGACAGTGTCCCAAGGCACCCCCTGCATCTCACGCAGCTTCAGAGCCCTCTTGCCTTTGGGTTACTGGAGGTGGGCTCTCTTCATTTTTCTGGGCTCATTCACCCAGATGTTGCAACCTGCCCTACAAGCCATTCTCCAGGAGGTACAAGCCCAGGCCAGGCATGGTGGGACTGGAAAAGAGAGATCAGCATGGTAGGACTGCTCTCCTGGTCCATCAGGATGACCCTTGGGATGTTTAGCACAACTCCTCCTCACCTCCCTTTCTGCCTCCTCATGGTATCTGGCTGTTTCCAGGAGCTCCTGGAGCTGCTTTTGCACGAGGTCTTTGCTGGTGCACGCCCCAAGCGTCGTCCCGATGCATTTATACAGGAAGTTCTGGAAGAGCAAGAGGAACATTACCACCTCGTGAAACCCTACCGAGCCCTCGGAGGCAGACTGAGCTTGGTCACGCACAGATTACTCCTTGCAGCACGCTGGCGGCTCGTGCCCTAATGCGAAGGCGCAGGACAGAGCCCGGCCGTAAGCAGCTGGGACACTCGGAGCACCAGGGTGCACCGGGAGAGAAGTCCCACCGCAGAGCAGCGTTCGGTCCAAGAATGAGCCTCCCCACCGAGGCGCTCTCAGCTAAGCCTGACCAGCAGCTCAGTGTCAGAATACACCATTAACCCTGGAAGGGCACTGAGCCAACTGCATTCACCGGAGCCAGGAACAGGTATAACAAAACCCTTGTTCCTGCTCGGAGAGAAGCAAAGTCACCGCGACAGAGGGAGCACAAAGACAGATTTTCCAGCGATGCCTCCACAGCCCCTTTTTGACCAGCCGAGCCGGCCTCAGCTCTGAGTGCTCCTACACCCCTGCAGAAACACCAAGTCCTTCAGCAGCCACCTGCACGTGGGAGACCTCTTCCCTCCTGACCCACCACAGCGAGACCTCCCTGTCCTCTGCCCTCGCCAGCCTGGAGGTTACAGCCTTGCAGGCCACCCCTGCACGGTGCAGTCAGAAACGGGGTCCTTCCCTTCTGCACCAGAGAGCTCTGCCTGGTTCAGCTCGCTTCTCGCTCAGCTTAATTACAGGCCTGTTCACAGCAGAGGTACTGCAAGCTGCAGAGACCAGGAATCGGGTCTGAGCAGCACAGGCAGAACAACAGCCTGGCCAGGACCTCTCGAGCCAGCGATTCGGCTAAAACCCCTGCCCAGCCACCTCGCTAACCTCCTGCTTTTTCTTCTTCCCTCCTAACACCCCTTTCCAGTGCCAAGCTGTTGGCAGAACGATGCTTTCAGAAAGCACCAAGGGCTGGATCAGCCCTGCCCCGGCTAACATGCCGCAGCAGGAGGGGCACTGCCAGCCCGCCGATCCCTCCGCTCCCCGACACGATCACCTTCTCCAGCGGGAAGCCATTGTAGCTGTTCAGCTGCCTGCACATCTCTGTGACAAAATGGCAAATCCATGTGTTGTCAGAAACGGCCGCCAGCGTCTCCTGGAGGAACTGCGGGAGGGAGAGCCGGCGGCGTTTTCCGCCAGCCGCAGGCTGCAACAAACCCGCTCCTGGCTAAGCGAGGAGCCTCAGCCGGGAGGGGCGAGAGCAGTGCAATAAATAAAACACGGGGGGCTCGTGTCAGACATGCCCAGACCCTTGTCTGCACCACGCGAGCACGCACCCCCCGGATCACCACGGGAGGCTGCCCGGCCCTTCGGAAGGCAGGCTGCCCACCCTGGAGCGGATCCTGCCAGCGCACCACCGTCCCCCCGACTCCAGAAATGTGCCCTTTTCCTCAGGGTCAGGTCTCTTCCAAGATAACTGCACCCAAGTAACATTGCCATTATCAGAGGAGCAGGATGAGCCCCGACCAGTTTTAATTGCTTCTCCATGCCCTATTTTAAGGCTCTCCAATTAAGTGGGGAGACACACTTGGGACCGCTGTTCTCTGACCCACCAGCAAGCCTGAAAGCTCATTTTTAACTTTCCCTGCAGGAAATGCAAGTCACCCTCTGCGCTGACCTGCATCTCCGCTTCTGAAGTGACAAGACCCGGTAGCGTGACAACGAGTGACCATCTCTGCCACTACGGTCAGGGTGGGCGAAGGGGCATACCTGCCTCTGCAGACCCAGCCCGTGCTGCGCGGCGAGCCCAGCTGAGGGGAGCCCTGGAGCCGGTTGCCGCGTGCCCCCCCACCGCCCCGTTGCCTCCCCAGCACAGGGACCCTTACCAGCAGCAGCTTCTCTTCCCACTCCTTCTGGGACAGGGACTTCTCCGTGTTCTCTAGGAGAAAGCACATTTTTTACACTGGTTTCTCATCCTCGCTGTACATCACGCAGCAGGGGCAGACCGCCAGCAGGGGCAGGCCGCTCTTCAAACGCTGTGTGTCCTGTACTTGACACAGCGGGGCTAACCACTTGAGGCACAAAGGCACTCCTGGCAGGAATTAGTGGCACCAGGGTGATTAAAGTCCTTGATAAAATGGGAGATGGCACTTCTTCAGAGACCTTCGATGTACGGAGGGTCACCAGGCATGTGGGCAGTACCCCACCCTATCCTTGGATACCCCCAAGCATCTGGGAACACACAGTCCAGTTTGGAGAAGGTGATTCCAGCAGAGTTTCTCCCGAGCAGAAGCCCCTTCCTACCTTCTATGTGCTCCACCAAGAGAGGGACCTTCTTGCTCCAAGGCTGGTCCAGCGCGGGGTGGATGCTGTAATGCAATACGTTCAGCAGCCGCAGGGCAGCCGCCCCCCGGCAGTCTCCTACATACGGCTGTGAAGATACAACCTGAAAGTTTGGGGATGAACAAAGGGTGTTAGTGCAGAGAAAGTAATTTCCAGGTTGCAAGTCAGAAAATATGAAACAAAACACAGGAATGTGATATTGGGGAGTGATTGATCTCCACACCTCAACGAAACTACAGCTCCCTCCTTTTGCTCCAGCTGCTGACAGACAAATGTTGTCAGGAGAGCATGTCTCCTGGACTCACCCCTGGGCGAAGAGGAGCAAACCCAGCCTCCCTCGGGCTGAGGAACAGTTTCCCAAAGCCCTGTAAGAACAGCTGGAGACCTGCACCGCAGCACACCCCATTTACAGGGCTCTGGGTGTCTAAGAGGGAGTCTGAGCTTCCACAGCCTAGACGGAGACGCTCCTGTGTGCGGAGGGGATGGGGGTACCCCCCACCCAAAGGTGCACAGCGTTTCTGGATACGGGCACCTCTGCCTGAAGCAGCGGGGCGAACGGGGCATTCACCCCGCCTGTTTGCTGGGCAGGCTCGGTGCAGCGCAGCACAAGCTGCCCCTTCTCTTAGTCCATCTGGGACAGGGAGGGACGGTGCTTTCTTTGGATGTGCCGGTAACCAGAGAAAGGAGGAGCTCTGCCTCCAGGCCACTTACCAGCAGTCTTGTTGTTAGAGCATAGGGCGAAGGAAGATTTGCTACAAACAGAAGGGAAAAAAGCGTAAGACGGCATCTCCCACCAAGCACCCACGAAGCAGGCCAAGACTGCCTGGCTGGCAGACGAGTCCCAAGCTCGCACACCCCAGCGTCTGCCGGCAGAGGCTGGCACTGACCATTCAGGTCGTAACGGATAAGGGACGCGTTTTCTCCCTCCTCTTGCTTCTTTACGGCCAAACACATGAGGCTCTTGCAGAGTGGGGTCAGGGCGTTGGTGAACTGTATCGGGGTCACAAACTCCAGGAGGTACGGCCACAGAACCTGCCGGGAAAAGAGGAGCATGGCACTCGCCCTGCTTGCTGGCGCAGGGCACCCGGCAAGAGCCTGGCTGCGGGATGGAGACTCTGTGCCAGAGCATGGGACCGAGGCAGAGGAGGGGGAGATGCCAGGTCAAAGGCCTTTTGCTGATGGGGAAAATCGCCGAGTCCCCTTACGCAGTGCTATTGCCTGCGCTCTACTCCAGCAGCACCGAAGCTCCAGCTCCAGGGTGTTCCCTTTCATAGAATCACAGAACGGTTTGGGTGGAAGGGGACCTTTAAAGGTCATCTAGTCCGGCCCCCCTGCCATGGGCAGGGACACCTTCAACTAGATCAGGTTGCTCAGAGCCCCGTCCAACCTGACCTTGAATGTTCCCAGGGATGGGGCATCTACCACCTCTCTGGGCAACCTGCGCCAGGGTTTCACCACCCTCAGCGTAACAAATGGCTTCCTTGTGTCCAGTCTAACCCTACCCTCTTTTGGTTTAAAACTGTTGCCCCTTGTCCTGTCACTACAGGCCTTGGTAAAAAGTCTTTCTTACAAGCCCCCTTCAAGCACTTTAAGTATGCAATAAGGTCTCCCCGAAGCCTTCTCTTCTCCAGGCTGAACACCCCCAGCTCTCTCAGCCTTTCTCCATAGCAGAGGTGTTCCATCCCTCTGACGATTTTTTTGTGTCCTCCTCTGGACCTGCTCCAACAGGCCCAGAACCTTGAACTCAGTCCTTGAACTGAGGAATTCCAGTTGCCTGGAAGTTGCCTGACCACCACCTTGCTCCAGCCTTAGACAAGCTCGCGGGGAGGGTACACACAGGTCCTTCCCAAACCAAACCTCTGCCCGGCTCTCGGACCCGTGGGGATAGTGGCAATAGCTCCTACAAGGGTTGGGAGTGGCGACAACCCATCCTGCCTGGCATATGGGGCATCCTGCACGTCGCACGGGTGGTGCGGGCTGTGCCGAGGGCAGTGTGGGACCCCCAGCACCCGGACGGTGGCTCTGGGGCCAGCACCGACAGCCCCAGAGGCAGAGATGACTGTGCAGACTCAGACTCACGTTGTTCATCCTGTCAACAGTCGTGCTAAGGAGAAAGAGCGTATTGACGCTGATGCTCTGGACGCTGTCACTAGTGAGGTCATCAGCATCCAGCGGCTGCTTTTTGGGCTGCTGGAGGAGAGGGAAAGCGCAGGTCAGCACGGATGCTGCGGCAGGGCCGGCAGCCGGAGGCAGCTGGGAGCAGCTCTGGGCGACTCCCTTAGCGAACACGTTTCCCAAGCCGTCGAGATGGCACACCTGGCAAACAGCGTGCTGGAAGGAACGGGCAGAACCCGAAAGCCTCCTGGTTCATGGCCCATCTCCAGCATGTGCTCCAGTTCTACCCATGGAGCTCAGAGGGACTGCAGAGCTCCTGCAGCCCAAACCATCGCCCCTGCTCCTCTTTGAGGGGGAAAGGGATGATCTGAGCCCCAGGGTGCTTTTAGTCGTGCCCATGTCTCTGCAGCCCAGCTGGACAAGTGGGGCTGGAGGCAGCCAAGCCCCACGTAAGGGAGCTACCCCCACTGAGAGGGCAGCAGCCTGACCCAGCCTGGCTACACGGGGGACATGGAGCTGGCAGGAGGTGGAGGTCCTGCCAGCGCAGCCCCCGAGTCCTGGCTGGCGTCCTTTGGATGCAGGGACAGCTATCCCAATGGCACCTCTCCTGCTCCTCAGGTTTGCCCCCGCTCCTCCTTGCTCCAGAGGCAGGAACCACAGCACGCCATCAGGGGAAAGATGGGGAGGAAGCTGCAGTGCTGCTGCATGAGGGCTGGGGCGGTGGCGATGGCAAGGGGGACATCCTGAGGGTCTGAGGTGGGGAGCCTGCACTGTGGGGGTATAGTTGGTTGGGACGCTTTGGTCCGAGAGCAACCTGGGGAGGGTTGAGAGGCCGCAGGCGAAGCAAAGCAGAACATGCAGGCTTCTGCCAGCTGCACCGCTCCGCTGAGGACAGTGGTGGCCAGAGGCTGGATGGGAGAGCTCTGCAGGCTGCACTGCACATCCACGGACCTGGGTACTGGGCTGCCTTCCCCACGGGTCTGCCTAAATTGGTGCTGCGGGGAGCCAGAGGTGTGCACAGCTACAGACAGGGACTTGCCCGGTCCCACCTGGGTACCTTTCTTTAGGAGTTTTACCCCACCTGGATGTGCTTACCGCATCCGAGGGAAGGGCGCACTGGCGGACGAGGAACTCCATCATCGCCTCCCCGCCGGGCTGCTCCAGGTAGCCGTGGTGAGCCATGGCGCTGATCACCTGCACCACAGCCCGCTTCACCTGCGCGGGCAGAGCAGCGGCACCAGCATCGGTGCGGGGCGGAGGGGAGAAGCTGCGAGCAGGGGGGTTTCTGCCTGCTGCAGTGTCCTCCTCACAGCTGCCCTTCGCCACCTCCTCCTCCTCGGTAGCGGGGAACGTTACTACGGGTCTTACATACAGCCCTTCAACTGGGTTTGGGCTCTGCCAGCAGCAGCCGGGCTCCGCACAGGACAGTGGGGTCAGCCGCCCACGGCCACACCACCCACCACACGCGGTTAGGTCTGGCAGAGCAAAGTTTGTGTTCGGCAAGCGGGACGCGCCCTGTGACCATGTGAGCTGAGTCACCAGCAGCCTGGTGCTCCTGGCAGCGCCGTGCGTTTTCCTTACACGCAGCACTCCAGGCAGGGCCACGCTTCACAGCGGCAATACTCCCTGCTAGGCAGGGCTGCCTACGCTCAGACATGCTCTTTGCACAGGGCACAGACGGAAAACCAGTCCCCATGTGCTCCCCCATTACTGGGAGGGGTATCTTCTGGGCATGTCGGCAGAACTGCCAAAACCCCAACCAGAAGAGAGATGAGCAACAGGAGGCGGCGGAGGACAGCCGGGCTGTTTTTTTTTACGGCTGTGCAGGGCCCCAGAAATAAACCCCCACCCCTGAAGTAGACCCGCAGAAGAGCAGAAGTTCAGCTTACCTTATTGTTGCCGTCTTGCAGAGGAAGTCTCATAGACGAAAGAATGAAGGGCTTTTTAATCTCCATTTGAGAGGCTGAAAAAAAGATGACAGACTCTGAAGCTCGGTGATGCTCTTGAGCTGCCAAGGACAGAGCTGCTGATCCCGAACATCCCCCAACAGGGAAGGTTTTGTCCCTTGTCCCCCTTCCCAGCGGGCCGGGCCGCCAGACTGGTTTCCTTCTCCCCGGACCCTGCAGCCAAGGATGGGTTCGTCTCCTCATCCCACTCATCCCAGGTCCCAGCAGGGGAAGGAGGGGACGCGTGGAAAGGAACCCATCGGAGGAAAGGGAAAGCCTGCCTGGAGCCCTAAGTGCACAACCTGCTCTGCACCTTCCTGCTTCGAGACCCCGACAGGGACCGCGGCTGGAC